CACTGACTGTTCTTGTAGAGAACCCAGGTTCAATTCCCACATGGCACAACACGGGTGCACTCACATACATGCAGGCAATACACTCATGCACAGAAAATAAAAATAATAAATAAAATATATTTAAAAGTTTATAAACAACAGAAGAACATTTCACAAATTTAATGAAAGATATTAACTCATGGGAGCACACAAACACCTACACACATGCACACATGCATGCATGCACACAGCAGATTCATTATAGTACTTGATTTCAATCCTTATTACATAGCATGGTGTTAAAAATAGCATGGTACTGACCTATACAGATACACAGAACAATGAAAATGTAGAGAGATTTCAGAAATAAAACCAACATCTTCAGTCAACTGGTTCTCAAAAAGAATGACAAAAACACACTGGAGGAAGAAGAGCCTCTTCAACAAATTATGCTAGAAAGCTAGATGTCCACATGGAGAAGATGGAAAGAACCTCCATCACCCAAACAACAGAAAAATCAACTGCAAATGGAACAGAGATCCAAATGGAAGACCTGAAACTATAGAGTTACTAAACAAAAACACAGTGGGAGCATTCTGAAACATAGGTATATGTAATGCCTTCTTATGCTCCAGGAGAAAGAATAGAGACATAATATATATCTATATCTATATCTATATCTATATCTATATATATATATTATGGATGGAATTACAACAAACTAAAAAGCTTCTGCACTGCAAAAGAAACTCAAGTGTGAAAAGACAGCCTTCAGAATAGGAAAAAATCTTGGCCAACTATAATCTGTAAAGAGATTAATATCCAAAATCTGCAAGGAAGTCAAAAACACTATTTAACACACACACACACACACACACACACACACACACATTCAGATTTCCCAACAATTGAAATGGTTTTTAACACTTGCTTTACAGATGTGTGTGATGGCACATCCTATAACACCAGCGCTTGGGAAGGGGCAGACAGGAGGATCATCACAAATCTGAGGCCAGCCTGGGCTATGTGAGACACTGCCTCCAAACAACAATGGGAGTTGGGCGTAGTGGTGCACACCTTTAATCTCAGCACTCTGGAGACAGAGGCAGGCAGATCTCTATGAGATCAAGGCCAGTCTAGTCTACATAATGAGTTCTAGGCCAGCTAAGGATATAGAGAGACCCTGTCTCAAAAAACAAAACCAAACAAGCACAAAAACCAAAACAACAATGGAACTACAGAGATGGTTCAGCA